ATGATACAAACTTAATGTATTCTGACAGACAGTGCTGATTGTTAGCCAACAATAAATGATTGTATTCTGTACAAAGCTAACGATACGATAGCTTTCTATTAGCCAAGAGTGATGTGAGGTAGAGGCATCCAGCGAGCTAACTGTAGCTAAGCCGTTATTGTCTGGCGTATCTTTGCTGGTAACGGTCGTGGTCTGGTGTCGGTCTCTGTACGGTGTTGGTCTGGTGTCGGTCGCTGTCACCGTGTGGGGTCATGTGTCGGTCTCTGTTACGTGGTGGGCTGTGTCGTCGCTGTACTGGTGTGGTCTGGTCCGCGTCGCTGTATACGGTGTGGGTCTGGTTGGTTGCTTCGTGGTGTGGCTGATGCTGATTTGTAAAAGGCGATAGCGAGCTAGTTAGTAGCATGGAGCTAACGGTCCAAATAAAATATAGGAACGTTATTCTAAATATGATTGTATGTTTTAAATGAAGTTTAAATATTGTGTTTTAGTTTATTATATTAAAAATATATTTTATTATCATATTTATGAATTAAAACGTTTTATATGCAGTGTTTGACTCACATTGCCATGGTTACGGGCCTGTTATAGTTCCTCCTCCAGTCGCAGCAGCAGAGAGTCTTTCTCCAGACTGACAGACAACAACAGACAGTTCTCTACAGTTAACATCGTATTTATACATTTCTGATAGAAAGTGATGTTTTAACTGAAGCCAGGCTGTTTAATCCAGGTGTGTTTTTTACCTTTCAAACAGCTGCTCGGATTCTGTCTCACTTCCTGATCCCTGCAGAGGAGGAGAAGAATTAACAGCAGCTGTTACAAACATCTGGATTCCAGTTTGTCACCACTTTTTAAGCAGATGAACTTTGACTGAATCACTCAATCACTGTTATTGTTTCTATATTAGACTAGAGTTAGAGTTAGAGTTTGGTGTTAACAACATAAATGAGGCTAGCGTGTAGCATATCTTACGCTGCGTTCCAGTCGGATATTTCAACTTGGAAACCTCAACAACCCCATTCTCCAAATCCAAGATGGCTGCTCCGTTCGTCTGAGATAAAATGCAGTATAATGTGTTGTTTGTAGGTATTGCTAACAATGGCTAATCTTGGTAGCATTTGATTTTCCGACTTGTTGTACGGGAACTGTGATATAATTCTCAGCTCCAACCTTCATGGTGGCGCTAGAGGGAAAGTCAGAGGATCAATAAAGTTATTACAAATTCATCCTCAGTAGAAGAAGAAAGTCTGAACCACAATCCATCCGACATCTGTCTGGACCGACCAGCGAGCGCCGCCAGCGGCTAAAACTACGGAACCAGTGGAAGAAGTCGGATATAAAATATCAGCAATGAAAGAGGTTGATATTAGTTTGTTATAATCAAGATCAATCAATCAAAGGATGTTAGACATGCTGAAGGTCAGTGTTCAGGTTGTTACCTGGACTGTAACCTGGTTCTCCAGCTGGACCTTGAGCTCCTGCAGCTCCGCCTCTCTGGACACCAGCGCCCCCTGCAGCTCTGAGGAACAAACAGCAGAAGAACCAACACAGTCGAGGAGTTAGCAGGTTGCTGGGTTTCTAGCAGAGGTGGATCCAAGTCCCGAGTCACAAGTCCTGAGTCCTAAAGTTATAATTCTCTCTTCACTAAATGTGAGATTATTTTAACAACAGAACAAATGAAGCAAATAATCTTTGGTATAATTTCTTCCGACTGGCGCTCAGTAACGTAACGTTGGTTCTCCTGCAACCTGATTGGATGGTTCAACAAAGTGGATCTGATGAGATTAATTGATTCAGGTAATGAATTTATTCATGGCACTTTTAAAAAACATACTTTTTAATCTTTGGTGGAAAATATTGAGTATTTTCAAATCAAACTTCCAAGTGAAGTCGCTGCTGTTAAAGTCTGAGTCAAGTTTCACCTCTGCTGCTCCTGTAATTAAACGTGTCGCACTCTTGTTCATGAGTTTCTACAGAACTAGTTTGTATTGTTAAAATTAAGGGGCTGCGTTAGCTACATGCTAACAGAAACACTGACCGCTAACGGCAGCAGCTTCCTGCTGCGATGCTTTCAGCTGTGAACACACTTCCTCCAGTTGCTGGTGCAGAGCGCGCTCAGTGTCTGCGTGGACCAGCTGCACAGACAGAAAACACATCCTGTTAACAGCAGCTCCACTGCCTATTGGAGCAGTTCTAGAGGAATAAATCACTATTTGAAAGAAGTGTTACCCCAAAATTCCACCGGGGGCAGCCGGAATCTGCATGCTGTATTTTACTTTGAAAATTGACCATATTCTCTGTGCAGTTCCTGTGTCTGACATCCTGTCAGTGAGATCTGCTCTGTGCTTACGTATTATCCTGAAAGCAGAGCGGAGAGACGCTTCTGATGAGCGTCCGGTGGAATTTGGGGGTAAGAAACTACAAATGGCCTAATAGACATTTCAGGACAACTGTGCCATCTTGACCTCCAGGCTCTTCCTCTGCTTCTCGACGGACTGCAGAGCGTTGGTACGTTCGGTCAACTCCCAACCCAGACGGACACAGTCCTGCCTGAGACGAGCCAGCTCCGTATTCTGCCTGCAGAGAGGGTTAGGATTAGACCAGATTATAGACTGACAGTAGCTGTACCAGTCCTGCAGACGTGGTCTTGCAACTGTTCTCTGAAGTTCTCCTGGATCAATTTGTTGTTCTGTTCATCCAACAGAAGTCATTGTGCAGTGGCCGCTGCAGCTCATAGTTACTTCCCCCACTAACTAACCCGGCCTGTGCTACCTGCTCTCAGCCTGGCTGGTGGCCTGGTTCAGGGCATCTCGGAGGATCGAGTTCTCCTGCTGCAATCGGGTCAGCTGAGCGTTGGGGCCATTCTCCAGCTGTTCCTGCAGACTCCTGATCTGTTCCAGTTTAACAGTCAGTTAACTAAACACACTACAAACACTGCTCATCTGTCCACCTGCTGACATTAAATTCACCATTGTAACAAGGACAAAGTTCAGATTTCATGTAATTTTAAGGATCAGAACTCACAGATATGACAACCAGGCAACTGACTCGTAATTTCCTCTTGGAGAACTCTGACTTGATTTGGACCTTCCTTCACGGACTGCAGGCTTGAAGTGAGACTTGCTTTAGCAACATTTCAGACTAGATCCAAATCTAGTTTAGATTTGGACCTGTCCTCAAGAACTTCACTCAAACGTCCCAGCAAGAAGTTGATCTGATTTGACATGAGACTTAACAGTTGGCCTTGTAGACCTGTGACTCTACTCGGACCTACCCTTAATAGCCTGACTTAAACTTCCCCTCAGGGCCGTAAGACTTGTCTCAAATGTCCCCTAAGAAGTTGAGACTTTAACGTGGACTCAGAGACTTGCTTTGATAAGATTTGAGACTTGACTGTAATGCTTCGGCCTGCCTCTAAAGAATGTACAAATAGTTCAACAACACCTTTTGGTTGAGCTGCTGGGTATGTTTCAGGTGCTCCAGGTCAGCAGTCCTCATTCTGGCCTGCAGGGTATCAACCTCCTGAACCCGAGCACTCAGCTCCGCCTTCAGTCGGGCCTCCAAAGACGCCATCTTGGATTTCTCTGCACCGAGTTCCTGAAGAAAGAAACACAGCAGGTCCAAAGTTCTGTTCATACTCATTCACTGACGTATCTCAGTGCACCTTCAGAGAAACATTGCATTGTCACCTTGCTGAGCTCTCGAAGGCGACTTTTGACAATGGCGGCGTCTTCCTGCTCGCTGGTCAGCAGCTTGTCTTTCTCCTCCAGCTGTTTCTTCAGAGCGGCCAGTGGATCTCCTCTCTGACAGGCCTGAATGTCACACAAAGACTCAACTTTACCATTTCATGAGATGTATTTATCTCGGAACCGACGGTACTAGCTGCTAACATTAGCATGTTTCAATACTTATTAGCTGTTAGCTGTTGTGGCGGTTTATCTACCAGCTGCCAGGAGTCTTGGCGGACGCCGGCCTTCTGGTTCAGACCTCCATGATGTTTGTGCATCTTGTTGTCGCTGGAAGCGTCATGCTGGACACGGCGGACAGCAGCTCTACGGCAGCAGCTGGGCTGAGTCAATCACTTAAAGAAAAAACCAAACCCTCAATGTCCTGTTTAATCAGTAATCAATAATCGAACCCGGCCGGTACGTCTGAGCTCGTTATTGATAATTGAGTGTAAGTGATGATGTCGTCTTTAGTTTACTCACCTGGATCAGGTTTGTTCTTGGACTTCTTCTTGTTGCTCGAGGTCTCTTTGGGTTCTTCAGTTTTGGCAGCCGGTTCTTTGGTGACGTTCACCGGAGAAACGCCGACCACCGGCGCCACGGCCATGACCAGAAATTCCTTAGCAACCTTTTCCATCACAACAGCTGGCTCCACCTTGGCTGATTTCTTCTTCTTCTTTGGTGAGGGGGCTGGAGCAGACCTGATTGGGGTGCCATTAACCGCAGCGCGTTCTGGTTCTGATTCTGGTTCTGGTTCAGGTGTTGGGTTAGGGGCAGCATCAAGCTCAGTGGCAGGTTCTGGCTCAGATTCTGGTTCAGTACAGGTCAAAACCTCCGGCTCCTCGCTACCATCACTGCCTGGTTCTGAGAACTTCCCATCAGGTCGGTCCTCCTTCCTCTTGGCTTTGTTCTTCTTCTTCTTCTCTGCTCTCTGGGTCTGCGTGTGGACGAGCTGGCGCCGCTGTTTGGCCAATGCCTCGTCATACGACGTCTCCTTCATGGAGAGCGATGCCCACCGCCGAGAGGATCATGAATGAACTTAATGAACGTTCACGTGCACGTTATCAATAATAAGTAATAGTAATAATTTAATGATTAATTAATAATAATTTATACAGTTTTAAGGTCTCAGACAGTCACAGTCTCATCATGTGATCGATTGATTGGTTATTATCAATAAAGAAAACAGATTTTTTGTTTCAGTGAATTCTGAATCTAAAGACTTTCACATTAAAACATCCTGTGTCTGCTGATGAAGACTTTCCCGCCTCTGTGTGACCCAGCTGAAAATAATAAAGACTTTAAAGTTTGAGAGAGTTTGTCTCAACTGAACTCTGCTCGACCAGCACAAGCCCCGCCCCCCGCAGGCAGCGCGGCTCCTCATTGGTCGTTTAACCCGGAAACCATTAAACTGGCCTCATGGGAGATGTAGCTCTCTTTAAAACTACAGCTTTTACAAACTGATTTTACATCCTAAAAAATATTTATTTTCACTGTTTTAGGAATAATAAAATATTATTTATGTTACACAGATGTATAAATAAAAAATAGATTTTATTATTCTAAAAGATTCTCTATCAGCATTAATATGACAAATATTAAATTACATTAAATACTTTTTTAGTTTGATTTAAAGAAATATATATTTAAAATGTTTTTTAAAAAAAAGTTAATTTCTATTGTGGTAACTGTTTCTGTGAAATACATCCACTATTAAGACTTCAGTTTTTACCTTCAGTGTCGGTTGGTGTTGGTATGTTATTGTGTGCTTGTGCGGTAGAAAACAAACTATGTTTATTATTCTGTATAATTCTGAATAATAATAATGTGATAAATACTGTAAAAATAAAAGTCATCTTATTTTCAGGCTAAAAACAAAATGACTCCTGCAGATTCATTTTACTGGGAGTCACATTTATTTAGAAATAAACAGGAAAACAACCTGTTATTTACTGTTGTATTCTCATGAGGTCAAAGGAGTTCATTTAAAAGATTTAAAATACTTCCAGTAAATCTTGAAGTATTGATTCATTTATATTTAGTTTAGTGAAATAATCAGATTTTAATTTAATAATAAATATCTTTTACAAATCTTCTTTTTGATGTGTTTCTATCTTTAGACAGATGTAGCACTGTGCCCAAAGTTTATTCTATTCTAAATAAACTCTTAATTCTCTTTGTCTGATAAATACAAACTAATGTAAAAGGTTCTAAAATATTATATAAATATCATTATAATGTATTTACTTCATTTTGTAAATATTTTATACAATGTATTTATTTTATTTTGTAAATATTTTATACAATGTATTTATTTTATTTTGTAAATATTTCATACAATGTATTTATTTATTTTGTAAATATTTTATATAATGTATTTTATTTTGTAAATATTTCATACAGTGTATTTTATTTATTTTGTAAATATTTATATCATGTATTTATTTTATTTTGTAAATATTTTATATAATGTATTTATTTTATTTTGTAAATATTTTATATAATGTATTTTATTTTGTAAATATTTCATACATTGTATTTATTTATTTTGTAAATATTTTATATCATGTATTTTATTTTGTAAATATTTCATAGCAATGTATGCATTGTATTTTTAATATTTTATAAATGTATTGTTATTTTGTAAATTTTCATAACAAATGTTATTTATTTATTTTGTAAATTTTTATATGCATGGCTATTTATTATTTTGTAAAGATTTTATATCATCGTATTTAATTTTATTTGTAATATTTTATATCATGTATTTGTGTTTGATTTTGTAAATAATTTTTTTTTATATCATCGCTATTCTTTTTTATTTTGTACGACAAAAAAATGTCTGACAAAGGGATTGAGGATTCCATCATATGTGTTTTCTTATTGCATAAGGTTATTTATCTGTATTTTTTGCCTCATTTTCTGTAACATAATCTGGTTCCTTTGGTTTTGGAGGTTACAGAATTTTTCCAATGTTAAATGTGTCAATACATTAGGTGTTTATTTCTTGTATTTAAATACCTTGCAATATGGTGTACCTGTAATGCTGAGCTGACGAAGTTAGTCTTTGGTCTCAGACAGATAGTAAGAGAGGGGGGGGGGCGCTGTTACACACCGGAAACGGCTGAATGTGAACGAGAGTGATTGCTCTGCTCCGCGCGTTGAGGTTAGCTGTCAAAGTTCTTAGGCAGGCATGGCTGCCTAAATGTTCATATAACGGCATGGTTCATGCGACCCTCAGCGGCCGTGGTTCTATTCTAGACGGAGTTTTCTGTCGCGCTTTGAATCTATCTGAGCACTGTGACGCGGGTCCAGCCTCGAACAGACCTGGGACCGGCAGGTAGAAGCGACGAGCCGGGCCGGGCGGGCCGCGGCCGAGCCGAGCAGCGAGCTAACCGCTGAGCTAACAGCGAGGCTAGCAGGCTAGCAGAGCACACCAAAGGATAGTTAACGGACTGTTTGTGAATTCAAATTAGAAAAGTGTCGTTGTTTAAGCGGACGGAAACAAATTTGAACGTTCTGATATGGCGATAATATGGCGATAATATGGAGTATTGATAATATATTCTTAATATATACCTTTACAATGAAAAGTTAGTTTTTGCATGAATAACAGCAGCAGCTAGCGCAGGGCTTCCGCTTCATTTTCAATAATAAAGATCAGACAACCGTGGCTGAAGTTTATAGTGAAAGAAACTTTATTAATTGCTTTATGCCGACATTATAACCTTGCCATTGTATTAATATTTATTTAGTGTAATTATAGATATTTAACTAAATTAATATTATTATAATAGATATATTATCATAATAATATTATTATTATATTTGATATTATCTAAATATATCGCATTAGGCCGCGGATACCCTATGGTTTACTCTAAAGAACATACAAGTCAAGATACTTATTTCTCATATACTGTTTATGTGTGTTGTTTGATTTGTTGTTTATTAATGTGTGTGTGTCCTCAGCGTCTGCCAGCGAAGGCGTGGTGCAGAGATCTGGAGGCGGCTGCAGAGGAAGAAGGAGAATCTGAGGCCCCTGCTGGAGGAGCAGAGGAGTCTGACCCGATCAGCTGGAGGAGGAGAGACTGCGCAGAGCGACACAGCCGCCCCCCTCTCACTTGTCTGCATAAAAGTTAAAATTCAGCAGATACCCGCCAGGAGCACTGAGACACCCGCGCGCCCGGCCACCACGACCCCCGGCAGGAGGCAGCTGAGACACAGCGGCCCCCCCCCCCGCGCAGGAGGCCACTGAGACACAGCCGCCGCCCCCCGCAGGAGCACACTGGGGAACACCAGCGCCCCCCCCCCCGCACGCAGCACTGAGAAGGTAACACACGCTGTGTCAAAGACAGACCGGCTCCATATATGTGTAAGCATGAGCATAAGATGAGAGTACGCGAGAAGTACTAAATTATTAAACCACCTGATCTCTCAGGCCTCCTGAACATTCGGACCATCCACCTGCGCACTAGAGGGCGACACTCGGTGATCTATTTGGAACCTACCTAGTACCCTACTGATCACCCTCCCCTATTACCCTCCTGAGGTTAGCCGCCTCTGATACCTCTGATAGCCCCCGCTCATTGGACGGCTCTCTGATAACCCTCTGATAGCCCTCTATTACCCTCCGTACGTACCCATCCTAGTACCTCTATTACCCTTTAGTACCTCTCTGAACCCTCTCACTTACACCCTCGTATTACCCTCTGATACCGCTCTATGTCACACCTTCTGATACCGCCTCTGATCACCCCTGCTATTTCCACTCTCTAGTACCCTACTGATCACCCTCTAAATTACCCGCCTCAAATTTGTACCCTCCCTGTACTCTAGTACCCTCTACGTACCCTCTAGTACCTCCCCTAGTACGAGCTCTGATACGCCCTCTAGTACCCGCTCCTAGTACGCGCCTCTGATACCCTCTGATCTACGCTCTGCTTCCTCTAAAAGCCGCTCTGATCACCGCTCCTACGTACCCCTCTCAGTAAACCCTGCTGATACCCCTCTAGTATCTTGTTCATCTGGATACCCTCCCTAGTAGTTGCCCTCCCTTGCATACCTCCCTGATATCCCTCCTCATTAACTCGGCTCTGATACCAACTCTAGTAACCCTCTGAATACCCTGCTGATCCGCCTCTATTCACCCTCCGCTATTACCCTCGTAGTACCTACCTATGTATCGCGGTTCCTCCTGCTTACCGCTCCTAGTACCTCCCCTAAGTACCCTCGCTGATAGCCCCCCCTATTACCCCTCCCCTGATAGCCTGCTACGGTACCCTCTAGTTTAACCCTGCAGTAGTACTGCCCTTGATTACCCTTCCTACTGATAAACAGAGTACCCTCCAATATTACCGTACGGTCTCCGGCAGCGCTACGTGTCCTGTGCACCGATCCGACAGCTGTGGCAATTCTAACATGCTGCAGCAGTTGATGGCGAGTGTGTACATTTGCTGTGCATGTCAACTCTCCGCGCAGACTTCCAGACAAGAGAACAACTCACTGCGAGACAACTTTCTGTCTTGTTTATTCCTGTAGGTGTAGGTGCCAGTGACCGGAGGCCGCCGG